CATGGCGTTGCGGCGATGTTGGCTCATGCTTGACGCAGCGTCCGATTTGGTAGTGTATACCAACAAGCTGCACTAGGTGGACAACTGTATCGCCATGTTCGAGTGGTTCCTTGGGGAGGGCAAGTACAAGGTGATCGAGTTCGACCTCGGGTACACCAACGGGCGTGTCGGTCATGATTAGAAGGTCGTCATCGTCCAGTGGTGTGTGTGCCAGCACGTCCTCATCTACCACTACTGCACGGTCATGAGGCCTTGTAAAAGTTTCACCAGGTCTGGTTGGGATCAGGACCCCCAGAGGTCATCGATTTATGTAAGCAGGATACGTTTGATGCTTGATTATTATAAGTTTATTCGCAAAAAAAAGTAATGAAGTTGCCATTATATTGGTACGAAAGTTCTCATGTTATACCAAGTTACCACGTGGCAACTTTGATACTAATACCGTGACCACTTTGTAAACGACTAGCTGGCAACTTCAATGATGATTACCCCGCAAAAAAAAAACTTCAATGATGATTTTTTTTCCCGCCAAAACATACACATATGGAATTTAGTATTAAACCTCTTGTCGAGGTAAACCTGGGCGTGATCATCTGATCGTAAATTAGATTAACAGTTTGAGAGATAAAACATGTTAAAATTTGATAAATACATTTATGACGATGATATCGTCATCTCGCCAATAAAGGACCCGCTCACATGTTGGGATTTGTGAATCCTGCATGAAGTACCATGTGGGGCTAATAAATGAGCAACACTTGTTCTCATAGTCCCATCTCTCACAATACTCCCTCCGTCACGGTTTAGAAGACACAATTAAATTTGCGTGCGTTTCCACAATAGACAAGGTTTAGGGCGCATTGCATTTATTTCTAGTAGCTAATTAGTACTTCGATATACTATTTTTATATGCATGCGTAGTGTGAATGCTATTTTTTACCCAATTCCACAACCAATAGATAACCACCTAGGTCCCAGAGAATTTCCAAGCACGCCTTCTAAACCGTGACGGAGGGAGTACATATTTTTGACTTTGTTGTCTGCAAGAAAAAAACATACTGAAGCTTTTATATTACTACAGTAGGTTCTTAATTTGTGACATCATTATAGTCTTTTCATTGGTTTGTTTCATAAAAAGCATCTATTTCAATTGCACATTTCTCAAATGAACTATTTAATTCTTTTGAAATAAATTGTTTCATATTTTGAAATAATCAGTTTCACAATGATACATTATAAATTATAACTTCACTTTCCATGGTTGATATTTCACAATTTAGCACCTACATTTCACTTTTCATTGGGTTATTTCACAAAAATCACATCTATTTAAATTACATATTTTTAAAATAAATGGTTACACATTTCAAAATAACCCGTTACACAAATATCACATTTTTCAAGTGAAATAGGTTTGTTTCACAAATGAAATGTGAAATGTTGAAATTTAAACGTGTTTGAAATGTGTTCAATATTGGTTTAATTCTAAAGGTCTTGACATCAAGAGTTTGAATATATGAATTATTTAAAAAACACACAAAAAGGATATACGTTTTTAATTGGCTAAGATGAAATAAAGTTCATGGATTTGTTTCCAAGAGAGAGACTGTGTTGGGATTTGTGAGCCCCGCACGAAGTATCCCGTAATCCTCATAGGAGCAATGCTATATGCACAGGCAAATTTTTACTTAATTCACGGGGAGGCTTAGCTACGAAATAAGGGTGAGAGGGCCCACACCCCTTGAAAATCAGAGGGAGAAGATTAGTCAACGCACAAAGTCCGTAAAGTCCCGTACTCCCTTTATTCCTAAATGTAGTGCGCATAGGAAATTTTAAAAGTCAAACTCCTCCTGTTTTGACTACATTTATAGAAGACAAATATCTACTTCTATAATATTAAGTAAATATCATTAGATGCCTCACTAAACATATATTTATATTATGTTTATTTGGTATTATTTTTGTTGATACTTTTTTCGCTAAACTTGGTCAAACTAAACAATATTTGACTTCTAAGAAATTTTATGCCGACTACATTTTTAGGAATAGAGGGAGTATTACTCTGTGTGTTTAGAACTATTGGTCCTCATAGTCCCACCTCTGAAAATACATATTTTTGACTCTGTTGCGTGCAAGAAATTATGCCAAAACTTTTCGTAACTACTCCTTCCGTCCGAAAATACTTGTCATCAAAATAGATAAAAAGGAATGTATCTAGAACTAAAATACATCTAGATACACCCCATTTTGTTCATTTTGATGACAAGTATTTCCGGACGGAGGGAGTACAATACTATTGTACTTCTTATTTTTGGCGAAGAACTACAATACTACAATATCCATTCATCAGTTGTAGAAGCCCAATAATGCCGCCATCGTGCTGCTGGCATTTCCCCAGCATGCTTGCACACGTACGCAGTCGCTCGATCAAAGCTCAAATCAGAAGTTCAAAAACCATCGAGGTCGAGGAACTCATCCGGATCAATCAACGGCGCATCCTGCTGCCCTCCCTGCCTCTGCATGCCGGCGACGCGGTGGCCGCCTGCTGGCAGCGGCGAAGGCGCCGAGGGAAGGGGTGCGGAAGGAGGAGGAGCCTGCTGCGCGCCGTGCGCGACGACGATGGCGAGCTGCGCCCTGGTCCTGGCGAGCTCGCACTGCGTGGCGAGGATCTCTTCCTGCAGCCGGTTGATGACCCCGGCGCAGCCGTACACCGGGTCCCCTACCCGCCACTGCGCCTCCATCGCCATCGTCTCAGCCGCCTGCGCTCTCTCCTCCACGGGCAAGCTCTGCGCGCGAAATGGCAGCTCAATGTGAGTCTCCAACCATGCAATCGGGAGCTCAACTTACTAACCAGCTGATGGTTTTTCATTACCTGGAGCAACCTGGCAACGTTGCTGGCGCCGAAGACCCGGTGGACGTTGGCGTAGCGGCGGGGGCGGGACGCCGGGAAGTAGGGGGCGAGCACGCAGCCGTGGCCGCACCGCCGGCGCAGGTACTTGCACGCTGCGCAGCGCCTCGGGTTGCCGCTGCCGCCGCCTTCCTCCTCCTCCTCCTGCACCTCCTCCGGCTCCACGTCGTTGCCGGCAGGGGCCGTCGACATGGTGAACGATCTAGCGATGGATCTTGGTGTGAGTTCGTGAGATCGCGTGGATCCTTCGAAAGATTTCCGGGAGATCTTGTGGGTGCATGTTTATATACACAAATGAGATGGATGCATCGTGCATGGAGGGGAAGCTGGGAATGGCAACGCCAACGGCTACGTCGGTGCAAACTTGGCAGGCTTAACGGCATTGTTGTTGCTAATTGTATCACGAGGCCCACTAATTAAGGAGCGCGCCGGCCGCCCGGCAGCCCCCGCTTGCTACTTTTCTCTCTCCGGCCAGCACCGTCGCCCGTCGCCGCGGGCTTGGGCGCCGGCGCCCACTTGAGGGACAAGCTTTTTCGAATGTGGACATGTAGAAGTAGTTGGTTTAGTATTAGCGTTGCATATACTCTGCACGTGTGTGTTAGCTGTATTCGTACAGGAAGGAGTAGAATACAATTAATGTGTTTTCGAAGTCATGGTGACTGCCATTTAGAGCATCTCCAGCCGCGCCCTCAGGAAGGTCTCCCCAGGTGATTTTCTCGTGCCGGCGTCGAAAAAACGGCTCAGTCGCGCCTCCAGGAGTTCGATTTTCGCCGGCCTGAGCCGAAAACAGTGTCGGCGGACCCAGGCCGAACCCGGCAGGCTGGGGGGCGCCCGGGGGCGCCGGGGCGAGCTGTTTTGGCGCGAAAAAGCCGCGGGCCCGCCGCGTCAGCGACACAGCGCCTCGTCTTCCCCCAACGGCCTCGGTTCCCGCGGGGAATCAATGGCAAGGCTGCCGCCGGTCAGTCTTGCCATTGATTCCTCACGGGTGGCGCGTCACGGGACGGCGCGCCGACACCTCCCCTCCCTCGC